CTGCTTGGCCCCCCCCCCCCCCCCAATTTCTTCTTTCACATTGGATAGAATGACTAGCTTCTCTCTCTCTCTTTCTCTCTCTCTCTCTCTCTCTGAGAAAGCTACTTACCCTTAGTGGACAAAATCCTACAGTATTACCAGTTACAGTGGGATCTGTTATTTGAAATTATCATTGTTTGTGAGGTACTCTAGCATAAAGTATCTGTTTTTCAGTTCAAATTTGAGGTATTATTGAACTTTTAAAAAATTAACCTTTTGGGACCAGCAGTTAGCATAATGGCTATGTTGCTAGACTCCCATGTAGTCGACCGTGGTTCAAGTCCCAGACCCGGTGGTTTATGCTGGGCGCATGTGCGTGCCCAGGATCCTGAGAGAATGGAGGAGAAGGGATTGTGGTGTGGCCATCCCCTCAGGGGATGATTTCTCGCTTTCTGTCTCTCTGTCTCTGTGTCTTTCTGGCGAGCGCACACATCCTATAGCAAAAACCTCTCCAAAACAAACAAACAAAATTAACCTTTTTATTTTAGGTAATTACTGTGCTATATAGTCATAAGAAATAATTCAAAGCAGTCTTACGGACTCTTAACCCAGTTTTCTCCAGTGGTAACATGTTGGAACATTAAATTTCAGGATCACAGCCAGAATCTTAACAATGATACAGTCAAGATACAGAATATTCCATCACCACAAGGATCTGTCATGGTGCCCTTTTATGGCTACATCATCTGCTTCACTCCCAACCTTGCATGACCAACCCTAATCCCCGACAACCAGTAATCTAGCCTCCATTTTTGTAATTTTATCACTTTAAGATAGTTACATAAATAGAATCATATAATATGTAGCCATTTGGGGTTGGCTTTCTTTTTCAGTGCATATTCCCTCAAGATTTATTAAGGTTGTTGTATGTAGCAACAGTTTGTTCTCTTTTATTTTCATTGTATGGATATACCACAGTTTATTTACCCATTTACCTGGCGAAGGACAGCTGGGTCGTTTCCGATTTGGAACATTTATGAATAAAGGTGCTGTAAGTAGTTATGCACAGCTGTCTTGTGTGAACATGTATTTGTTCTCTGGAATTAATGCCCAAGAGTGTAATTGCTGTGTCATATGGTAATATGGTTAATTTTTGAAAAATTCGAAAGTAAATGAGAATGAAAAGTTTAACAGTTATCTATCTTCAACAAGTATCAATTTTCAGTCTTTCATTTATGACCAAAGCTGCAAACATGTGTAGAATCTTCTTTCTGGAACAGATTGTCAGGTGCTACAGATTAAGCTTTAAAAAGAGTCGGTCCTTTTCTGCAAAGAATTGTGGTAGGGTGAGATTTGCATGCACATCAAAACTGTAATGAGAAATGTGGTATTAATGCTTAATATGAGCTCAGTCTGCAAGATTGAATAGTGAAGGAAGAGTAGAGACAATAGAATAGTTACATTTCAAGAACTATTTGTTCTTGGGCTTGGGGGATGAAAAGCAATAGAATAGTTCCTTTTCAAAAACTATTTGTTCTTGGGCTTGGGGGATGAAAATTAGCCTCAGTTTTGGCTATAGTAAAAGATATTGATTCCGATGACTATTAGTTTAATATCTGAAATATCTACTCAAGGCCAAGACAGGAGAGGTAAAGGTGAAAAGCTATGATGTATTTTTTGTTGAGGAATTTGAATATTATACTAGGGACATTTTTTTTATTGTTGTTTATTTTTATTCTTCTCTAAGAAGTAAAAAACTACTAATGGTTCTAAATAATGGAATTATATGCATTACAGCTCTCTTGTCCACAAAAATATCAAGAAGACAATTCAGATAGTTTATAGGGAAAAGCAGGCATTTATTTGTTCACATAACTGGCATATCCAAGATGGAGGAAGTATGGTAGGAATTGGAGATTCCAGTGATATTTTTACTTTTCTTGGCAACTTTCCCTCTTCTTTTTTCTGGCTTCTTATTATCCGTGTCCTCTCTCAGTCTTGGTATTCATTTTATTCTCTGTAGGCGTATTCCAGATAGGTTCAGGCCGCAGCAGTTCTTGGAGCTTATGATCACTGAGAAGTACGAGTCTTTCTTGACTTGTCTTGGCACAAGGCACCAGCGAGGACTTTGGCCAGTATGGGACCATTCACATGATTCATTTCTCAATTCTGGGCCAGTCACATGGTCCACAGCAGATGGATCCACATGGCCTGGCTCCTGTGCCTATCCCTGGAGATGTGGGGGAGGAGGCCATGAGGATGGGGTAGGACTACATTAGTCTGTGAAACCCCATGGACTGAGCAGGATTATTGATAGAATAATGGAAGAGTGCTTTTCTAACATAATGGCTACTGGTAAATTTAAAAAATATATATGTTCAACATAGGCATAACAGGATTAGATTCTGGCTTTAGGAGGAAAACCATGATAGCAATGTGTAGCATCTATTTAATCAGAGAAAAAACCATGGAGAAAGAAGACAGTTTCAGTAGATTCAACAGTGCATAACTCTATCAAGGGCCGAACCAAATAGCTGCTCTGAGCTCAGGAAAAAAAGGACAGGCTCAAAATGTAGAGAGAATCAACAGGACTTTGTCACCAACTGGATGTGGAGGAGTAAAAGGGGCAGAGAGGTTTCAAAGATGACAGATTATTATGTAAGGTGACACTAATGAAAAGAAATATGACATTTTAGACTGCTTTGCTAATCTAAAAAAGAACCACTTTAGCTCAGTTGTGCTAAGCAAAAGAGTGGTTATGAAAGGATCTTGTTTTTCTCATTTCTCTTAGTGGCCCTCAAAAACAAGATATCTATCCTGTTCTCCTCTTTAGTTTTCCTAGCGATAGAGAAAATAATCATGAACATCTGAGAAATGCCGTGAAAAAGTAATAACTAACAGCTGAAAGTCACAAGGCCAGCTGCCTCTGCCAGGAGGACATTACACATAGACTGGAATTGAAACTGGGATCCCACCAGAGCTGAGGGATGACCATGGTACGAAAGCTAATCAAGAATTGAGAATGGTATCCATGATTTTCCCTATAGTTAACAATTTGAATCTTAGAACTGAGGGATCCCATTGAGCCAGGGCTCTGGACGGGATGGAAGGGCTCTGTCTCCCTTTTCTTTTGTGAATACGCTCTCACCTTTATCAGTTCTTGGTACTGATACTGATCTGAGACAGCCAAGAGTATAAATAAATATGGCTTCCATACTCCAGAACCTTTCCTTAAGATGGTGTTATAGTCTGATCAATGAGAAACAAGAGGTCATCCAGACATAGCCAATTAAAATGGAGCCTTTATTAATAGGTCGGCTGACTGCGGGAGGACTGGAGTCTCTCAGAAACCCTGCAGTCCTGAGGGCAAGCTGAGGGGTGCTAATACAGGCAAAAATTACAAGAACAAAGCCAGGTGGGCTTGAAAAGGTAGAGGGTAGGAGTTTACAAGGCAGAAGCAGTTTACAGAAGCACAAAAAGCAGGTTAATCATTCCTAAGGGTATGTTCCATCCCTACCTAAACACAATGGAATCTTAATGGTCTTTATGGCTCAGAGCAAGGGGTTTGGCAATTGCTAAGAAACATCTTAAGGTAGGGAGTTTGGGGTTATATAGCAAAGACAAGAGGAATGTTAACCACTCAGTCTACTCTTAGACAAAAAGAGAAAGCAAGTTTCCAATATAGAGAGGAGTTCAAAATGGAGGTACTCCTGCTTCACTGCTTCGATGGCTTGACTAAGTGTGAACTTTTCGTTCACTATTCCTTTGTTATACAAGGCTCTGCAAGTTCATGGGAAATGTGTATTGTGAACAAGCACTGCATGGATTTCAAAAAGCTTTTTACGCTAAAATAAACTCATACTTTAATTCCTTTTTTGTTTTTTGTTATACAC